TATATATATATATATATATATATATATATATATATATATATATATATATATATATATCTTCTCTTGGTATAGAAAATGAGTAATTAATGATTTAACGATAAAAGATCAATCAGATTTGCAAAAAAGTGTTAGTATAAAAAAATAACAGATGAATGGAGTCTTTACACAATGGGTTTAACTGAATCCAATAATTTTGACACAAATATAAATATGTATGTGGAAAACAACTAAAACTTCAATAGCTGTTAAATTTAAAACCCTTATTTCAGAAGTATAGATCAAAATTTCCAGAACAAGAAAAATACCCGATATACATTTCATCAAGAAGGAGCTGATGATGTTAAAGGCATCTCAATTTCTTGTGAAGAGCTGATTGATGCACCACCATCTTTGCTTCCATGAGAGGAGTTAATAGATGCAGCACCAAATTGTACACTTTTTCCATCACTATTATTGTGCTGAGAATTTGCCAATGAAACATTTCTGGCCATACCAGAATTTGCCATTGTGGGCGCCCTGGATGCCCTTCTAGAAACCTGGCGATTATCGGTGCTGCTAAAGCCACAACATCTTTTTATGCATGTATACATGTAAGTAAAGAGCCAAAGTAGCCATGGAAATCCAATCAAGATTAGAGCTATTGCAGGAAACCAAGGTTGAGATAAATTTGGCACAAAGAGGTAAAGAAAAAGGAAAATCCCACCAATAAGTACACAAATACATAACATGAAAGAGATTAGAGGAACCCTCAGATCCCCCTCCCTCTCATTCATTATTGTTCTTCTTCTTCAATTCGCCTTTCGCAGTTATGTCAAAGGAATTAGCATCTAGAACGAGAGGCGCGGGTTACAGGTGACCATTATACTAATAGCGGGAAAATTAACAGTATCTGATGATATTTAGGGAATGAGCAAGGATAATCATTCGGATTTGTGAGAAGTGCATAAAAGAACTTTACCCAATTCTACCAATGTATAAAGATTACTCCTTTTTGTCTCTACAAACACCTCTTTTCTTCTTCCAATTTTTTCCTTCTCTTTTATGTTGATTCAGATTTTTCCTCCCCCTCCTTCTTCTCCGATGGAATTTATGAAAACACGATCTCGTTCTTTGAGTATATATTTTTTTGTTGCCGTCTTTTGGGTTGAGATGCAAGAAAAAATAACTGGATGTAATGCAGAAGAGAAATCAAGAAGAGCGCTAAAGGTGGAAGGTTGTTTATGAGAATCAGATGGTAAAGTCGTTGCATTTGATATTTACATGCAAAAGGAAGAAGAAATCATGCATGTCTTAACTTAACGGCAATTTAATATGCTACGCTAATCTGTCCTAAAGGAGAAGAATTGGTTTTTTGTCACATTGACGAGTTTACTAAATTTAGATCGGTTAAAGGAATAAACTCTAAACAAGCCGAGCATGTTATATTTTCATTTGCTAAATTTGGCCCTCCTACGCCTAATGTATAAGAGAACGTTTAGCATGGTTGTACATGTGATTTAGTACTATTCTATAATTTTACCATCCTCTTATATATTCCAAGTAATATTCTAAATTGGTTGTGTTCGAATCTTACGCTATTTTAGAGCTGTCAATATGGGCGGGGCTGCCCACGATGAGCTGTAGCAATTGACGGGCTGCGCTGGACTAGTCCACCATTTTGATGAGCCTTATAATGGTGAGCCCACCCCAGCCCTATGTGGGCTGCGGGCCCCCACGGGCCAGCCCATCACTTTTTAAAATATAATTTTATATTATTTTTTTCAATTCTAACCTAAAAAGGTAAATATTTAAAAGTTAAAAAAATCTTATTGGAAAAATTTCACAAAACTTAATAACTTTTTATATTGTTCCAATATATGATAAACATTAAAAAAAGTAAAAGACAAGACTAATATTTCATTCACTAAAAGTCAAAACTCAAAATAAACTATTCAAGAGAACGTCCATGATGCTTACGAGATATCCAAACACATCGTCTTCATCAAATACATTTGAATCCGCGTGTGAGAAGGTTGTCTTAATATCTTCACTTTCATCTACATCTACAATTCGTCCAAAATATTAATTAGTTGAATATTAAGAATAATTAAATTTTTAAAACTAATTACTGTTTTAAGACTTTAATCTTCTAATATGATGAGCTTAATAAATTTAAGCTTGGATACTCTTCTTGATATTTTTTGTGTCGTATAATTTTTATATTTTATATATTTCAAATACATATTTTTATTAGGCCCACGGGCCGGCCCAAGCCAACCTCAATCAAGCCTCACGGGCTACGGGCTACGGGCTACGAGCTTACTTGGGCCGGGCTTAAAAACCTCGTTTCTAAATGGGTTTCAAAAATTCTAGCCCGGTACTGCTAAATCACGGGCTGGGCTGGGCTGGCCCAAGCCCATATTGACGGCTCTACGTTATTTTAACCTTATTCTGATTTATCTTTTCTTTGTATTATTCTCTTCTTATTCTTATTTGCAGATGGAAAGGAGAACCACGATAATGCTGATATATTATTATCTATTGTCTTCATTTTTATTTTATTTTACTCCTATGTTGAGCTATTTCAGAATTATAAATTTCGAATAAATTTTAACTTATTTAATTGGGAAAATGAAACGGTATAGCTGCTGTAAAAATAATAGGCGAAAAATGTATAAAATTTATATATTTTTTTGTATATATATACATTATGTATGTTATATACAAAAAGTATACAAATTTTATACACTTTTTAAGTTACCAAATTTAAATAATTTCTGGCGCGGGCTAAAAGTGATAATACCCCTATTTAATTTGATTTAGAGGGTGTTTGAATGGGCTTTTAAGGTGGTCAAATAAGCTTCTAAGTTATTTTTATCTTGTTTTGGTGTTTGTGTGTTAGCATAAAAATAAACTCGTCACATGGGTTAATGATATGTTGACGGGTGGCATAAGAGTCAAAGTGATAAAAAGGAATGACGGTTAGGGAAAGCATGAGTAAAACGCCCACGAGATCGCTTTACAAAGATACCGTACCTGACAGCTAGAAAGGAAGAGATAGGTGCGGGATGGATAATTAAATACCACAAAGAAGGAAGATTCATTAATAGCCATGAGTATGGAAAGAAATCGACATAATCCGTGATTGTATGCGATTGACTGTTATTACCATAATAGCTACAAATTACCCAAGTAACGGACAATCAAAGTAATAAATATTAATAACGGGCGAGAATTAAGTACGGTAAAGTAGATACTTATTTTACCCTTATATAAATTCCTTTTACCATATTTTGTACGATCATCAAGTAATTCACGAAATTATACAATCAATCACTTATTTTATGCTTTGTTATTTGAAGAATCTTGTTCTCTCTTCTTGGAAGGAAATTGTGATTACCAATAAGATTTTTTTTTTCTTATTCTCTCAATATTTTATTTTTATTATTTTGTTATTCGTCTATATTAGAAAATGTGGAGTAAAATTGGTTATTAGAAACCTGAATTTATTATTTGCTTTAACAGCAAAAATTATTTTTAGTTAAACAAATTAGTTCCGCTATCGAAAAATCTAGTAATCTTTTCACTTTTTATTTACATATTATATCTTAAGTAACAAATTATGTCTGGCACTAATGAAATTGTTCAGGTTGAGGATGGACAACAAGAAAGAACACATCCACACCACACACTCGCACACAACGTTTACGAGAATATTCATCTGTCAGATCTACTAATCGTAATGCTGGACAACAACATGAGGAACAATCAAAGGAGCAAGATAACCTCAAGCAATTTAACACGCAGAAGATTAGTGAAGCTTTGCCTGATTTTGCAAATGGTTTACCGAGTGCTGTTCAGGCGGCTCCACCTCCAGTTAAAACAACTGGGGAAACCCTCATTCAAGACTCGAAAACACGGGAAGTAGGAAAATACCAAATACTTCTAGAGCCGCAAGATGAGGTACACAAAATAATTTTAATTTTCAAAAACTAGTATTGACCTTACAGAAACAGCTCAAGGAACAAAACGAGCGGATAGAACACCTACCGGGACCGCTATGATTAAAGGAGTGGATATTGACAAGTATTCACAACAATCATGGAAGCCAAGTGCAGCACCCTTAACAATACCGAAAAAGATCAAGATGCCCGATATTCCCAAGTATGATGGGACTACTGACCTACGAGATCATGTCACTGCATTTACTATAGGAATCAAGGGAAAAGATTTAACCAAGCAAGAAATCGAATCAGTGTTGGTGAAACCCTTACGAAGGGGGCACTAACATGGTATTCTCTCTTACCTGAAAATATAATTGGCTCTTTTGCTGAGCTAGCAGATTTTTCATAAAAGCACATTCGGTAGCTCAAAAAAATAGAGAAAAGAGTGGAAGCTATATTTAAGGTAAAGCAAAGGAGTATGGAATTGCTCAGAGAATTCGTGGATTGAATCCAACAGGAAAGAATGATGTTACCTCGTGTACGTGATAATTAGGCAGCAATGGCATTTGCAAGCAACTTGAATGAGAGATGTTCATAAGCCATGAGAAGGTTAAAGGAAAGCTTACGGGAATTTCCTGCAACTACTTGGAATGATGTTTATAACATATACGGTACAAAGTTACGAATAGAAAAAAAATACGGTGTCCCAACCAAAAGTGGAGGAGAGGTTTGGACCTAGGCGCTCGGAATCAGAAAGGAGATCTGAAAAAAATAGGTACGAGCATTACATGGGACCTGCGGGACAAGATCTTAGGTCAAAACCAGAATAGACACATATTGACCAGAAATCAAGGCAGAAGGAGGCAGGTTCTTCTTCTCGATTTGGAAAGGAACAGGATAAAGCAAGGAGCAACGATCAAAATTTCCGATCAAAAAAAGGAGATTACAATTCCAATGTCAGTACTTACGAGTTAGTAGCTAGGTTAAGAGTTATGGGTAATAAGGTGCGATGGACAAAAGAGATGAGATCGGATCCCAGCAAAAGAAGTTAGAAATTTTGGTGTTAATTCCATAATGATCATGGTCACAGAACAGTAAATTGCAAGCTCCTACAAGCAGAAGTTGCTTATTTACTGAAAAATGTTACCTTACTGATCTATTTAGAGAGAAAGAAAACCATTCTTATATGAAAAATAGGCAAGAACCACCAAAGCAACCTTCGCCAAAAAGGATGGTGAATGTTATAACCGGAGGTGAGGAGGTCAATGGAGTTACATACACGCCGGAAAAAAGAACAACCAATATCTCAGTGACCAACGGAAAACGGATTCGACAAGTCTTGGAAGGAGACAACATAACATTTGGCGATGAGGATGCGGATGGCTTGTTCATCCCTCATAATGATGCGTTGGTAATATCTTTACTTGTTCATGATACTAACGTCAAGCGAGTTTTGATTGATCCAGTAGCTCTATGAGTATCATATTATTAAGAGTGGTGAATGAGATGGAAGATCATGTAATACCCAAGGCTCGATCTTCGTCTGGGTTCGACAATTCAAGTGTTATAACAAAGGAAGAAATTATATTATCAACATTCGCCGAGGGTGTCGTGAAGGACACCAAATTCAAGTGGTGAATGCAGACATGGCTTATAACATAATATTAGGAAGGCTATGGATCCATGACATGGGCGTAGTGCCATCAATATTACATCAGGTTATCAAATTTCCATCACAATGGAGAATTCATCAAATTAGGAGAGATCAGCAGACGGCACGAAAAACCAGCACAGGTTCTGTGGAAAGCGGAACATCTAAACACGACGATGAAAAATAGTAATTACAGTGTTCAGCTGAGGAAAATTTATTTTACACCTCAACTGAAAATGCAAAGAATGAGCAGATATAGATTTGATGCCCGATGTGATCCACGAATCGGAGGAGAACGCGACGATTAAAATGACTACAGAAAAAGTCGAAGCTGTTGTATTATTCGATCACTGGCCCGACAGAAAAGTCTATGTTGGGACAAACTTAAGCCCAGAATTGAAAGGTAAGTTAATTGAGTTTTTACGCACTAACGTTGATTGTTTTGCCTGGTTGCACTCAAATATGATAGGTATCCCACTGAAGGTAATGACTCATAAGTTAAATAGAGATCCATTACATCCCCCGATGAAGAAAAAGAAGCAAAAGCAAGGAGCATTCAAAAATAAGGTAATTCAAGAGGATGTGCAAAACCTTCTGAAAATTGGTTCAATTAGAGAGGTAAAGTATCCTGACTAGTTAGCTAATACTGTTGTAGTGCCAAAAAAATAGAAAATAGTATGTATGCGTAAATTATACTGATCTGAATAAAGCATGCCCAACGATTCATTCCTTTTACCGCTAATTGGTCAACTAATTGATTCTATCGCTGGTCATGAAATTTTAAATTTTTTAGATGCTTATATTGGATATAATCAAATAAAAATGGATCCCCTAGACGAGGAAAAAACTTCTTTTATTATAGATAGGGGAACTTATTGATACAAAATCATGCCTTTTGATTTGAAGAATATTGAAGCTGCGTACCAGAGGTTGGTGACCAAGATATTCCAAGAAAATTTGGGGAAGACCACGAAAGTCAACATCGATGACATGCTTGTGAGATCGGCACAAGCAGAAGATCATCTCAGGCATTTTAATGAAACTTTTGATATACTCCGCAAGTATAATATGAAGTTGAACCCGGAGAAATGCGTCTTCAGTGTGGCCTCAGGTAAATTTTTAGGTTTTCTTATCTCTAATAGGGGAATCAAAGTAAATCCGACTCAGATTAAAGCAATCAAAGAAATAGCAGATGTGCTCACGGGTAAAAAAGAAGTACACAGGTTAACAGAAAGAGTGGCAGCTCTGGGAAGATTCATATTCAAATCCTCAGAGAAGTATTTTAAATTTTTCTTGTTATTGTAAAAATAAAATCAATTTGAATGGACTGATATTGTCAACAAGCTTTAAAAGATTTGAAGGCATATATGTCAAAATCTGTTACACCCCACACCTAAAATAAAGCTTGGTAAGCTTGGCTTCTAGCGCGGCCAATTGGCTAGTAACGCGTGTGAAGGCAGAATGGGATTACACATTTCATTTGGCTCACGCCAGTTGTCCCACCGGATGCTGCAACTGGGGCGGGGCGACCCATTTTGCATGTAAAGTCGGCAAAATTTCGTAGGCATGGTGTAGTATACAAAGCCAGTACAGCCCTCTTCTCCCTGATTCTAGAAGATTTCACCCACATTAGTTCTCCTAAAATTCTCTCAAACCCCTCTAGAATTCCCGAATTAGTCTAAGGTAATCGAAGGGAAATCTAGTAGGATTTAGTGAGAAGGAGCTTGGAAATCAACAAAGATAGAGATAACATGAATAATAACTTCAAATAATGGAAACCAACAATGAAAGAGGTAACATGAACAATAACTTCAATTAATGATAATCAACAATGAGAGAAATAACATGCATAATGACTTCAGATACTGATAATCAACAACGAAGAGATAGTATGTAACAATAAAGAGGCAACAAGTTCAACTAAAGCATGAGAGCAATTTAACAATTAGGAGGTAGAACAAGTGTTAACGAAATCATTTAAGGCATGTAAGGATAGACTAACACAAGTAGAATGGATTGACTAGGAGAATTTAGAACATGAGATGGCATTTTAATTAAAGCGTGGAAATAGTCTAAGTATCCTAACCCGTGTACCCACTCGCCACCTTGCATACACAGATTTTACTTAGCACAATTGAATCAAATAATACCAATCCTAAGGGGGTAGTACCCCCACAAAAAGTTAGGCAAGACACTTATCTCAACTAGGCCTAATCAACACTCGGAAATAACTTTTCCCTTAAATTCTTCCTCCACACTGCTCAAATCTAACCAAAATTGACTTAATATTATCAAACAATGCTAGGGAATTCAATTGCAATAGATAAAGCTAAGATCTTTATAATTTTTCAAAAAAGTCAACCCAGGACCCGCCCGTCAAAACCCGGGTCCAATGGTAGATTCCGTCTACCCATGACCCTATGTGTTCATATAGGTGATTAGTTTCAAAATTCGAGTCCAAATTGACTCGCAGACCTCAATTTCTTATTTTTCAAAAATATAACAAAGTTTCACAATTTTTCACTTTGATTCACATGATTTTGATGTTAAAATCTAATATATGTTGATGGAATATGATTAGAAATAGATTACAATCAATTGCCCAAGGTTTGTAGGTGAAAATCTCCTCTCCAAATTGTCTCCTACCTAGTCTAGGGTTCAAAAATGAGAAAATGAATTTAAAAATCCCGTCTCCCAGCCCTTTAACCAGTTGTAGATATCGCATTTGCGGCACAGGGTTCGCATTTGCGAACCCTCTCAATTGCAGACCAGGGCTCGCATTTGCAAACCCTAACAACCTCAACATTTATCGCAATTGCGATAGAGGCTTCGTAATTGTGAACTGGAGGGCATCGCAAAAGCGAAGAATTGTTCGCAGCTGCGAACTAAGGTGAAATCTGGCAGTCTTCGCAATTGCGAAGGGGGAGTCGGAATTATGACATCAGAGCCCCCACTGTCACATTCGCAATTGCGATACTAGTGCTCGCAATTGCGATACATGAGCACCAGCGGCACCAATAGTCTAATTTTAGTCCGTAACCATTCCGAAACATGTCTGGAACTCATTCGAGCCCTCGGGGCTCCAAACTAAACAGCCAGACAAGTCTAAAAATATCATACGAACTTGCTCGCCTGATCAAAACACAAAAAAGTAAGATCTAAAACTACGAATCGAACACTAAGACACATGAATTTCAAAGTTCAAGAATTTCTTAAGTTACAATTAAACATCCGAATCCTATCAAATCAACTCCAAACGATACTAAATTTTACAGACAATTTCTTAATACTATGACAGACTTATTCTAAGTTCCAAAATTCAATTTCGATTGCGATAGCTAAAAGTCAAACTATGGTCAAACTTTTCAACTTCAATTTGCCAAATTTTGGCAAATCAATAAAAATCAACCTACGAATTTCTGAAATCAATTCCGGGCATACGCAAGTCTGAAATCACGATACGAAGCTATTGAAGCCATAAAAACACAATTTTGAGGTTGTTTTCACAGAAGTCAAAGTTTGTTCAATATTTTCTAATTTAAACCTCTAAGTCAAGAATCAAGGGTCCAAATCAACTTGAAAGCTTTCCGGAATGAAACTAACCGACCACGCAAGTTATAAAATCATAACCACACATGTGTAAAGCATAAAAAGGGGAAATGGCGCGATATTACACAAATCGACCGATCGGGTCGTTACATATACTTATATAGAATACCATGATTACTATTGAATCATGGTATACTTTCTTTGAGTATGTTAAATGGTATTCCTAATTTTTTGTCATACTATATAGTATACCATGATTTTGTTGGACCATGTTATTCTATGAATTACTAGTATATTAAATAGTATTCATAATATTTTTGGTATACTGAGTATACATGAATCATCGTATACTATGATTATTGGTATGATAAATAGTATCCACAATATTCTTAGTATATTGTGTAGTATATCATAATTAGTATCATAATTGTAGTTGGTATACCATGATTATTATTGAATCATGGTATATTTTATTTGAGTATGTTAAATAGTATATCAAATATTTTTGGTATACTACATCTTGGTATACCATGATTAGTGATAAATTATGGTATTCTCAATATTCTTTGATATACTGTACGTTTACATACCATGATTAGTGTTAAATCATGGTATACTTTGTTAGAGTTCGTAAAATGGTATATCCAATATTCTTGGTATAACAATTTACTGTTGAATCATGGTACTCTTAATATTTTTAGTATATTATATATTGGTATACTATAATTAGCATAGTATACCAAATTTTAAGATTCACCGATTTAACTAGAAAGAACAATAAAATGTAAAAAGAGTGACAAAGTTTTATTTTAAAAAATCCTTAAGAGTGACACCGTAACTATCGATAACTTAATCGATTAATGATTGTGTAGAAAGTATTCTAATACTAATTTCAGGACTAGTTATTTATCTAGAAAAAACAAAAACAAAACCAAAAGTGAAATAAAGTGATAAAATTTTAACATGAGAAATTTTACTGGAACAATTAATTGAAAAAACTAAGATAAACATAAGAATTATAAGGGGGAAAAGTGACAGATGTTTTGAACGAAAAATTTCTTAGAAAATATATATATATATATATATATATATATAGACTTTGATGAAAAAACAATCCCCACAAAAGCTTGTCCTATTTAGATGAATCACGAGCTAATCATTCATTGTCAAAAAGAAATCAATGATCTTCTTGAAAAACGCATCATCTCTCCAAGCAAATCCTCTTGGAGTTGTGCTGCCTTTTACGTCAATAAAAACTCTGAAATAGAACGAGGTGTCCCTCGATTAGTCATCAATTATAAACCTTTGAACAAAGCACTTCGCTGGATTAGATACCCTATTCCAAACAAAAAGGATTTACTTCAAAGGCTTTATGCTGCAACTATCTTTTCAAAATTTGATCTAAAATCAGGATTTGGGCAAATTCAAATATATATATATATATATATATATATATATATATATATATATAAGAAAAAAAAGAAAGAAAAAAAGAGTAACATGGTAACTCTCGTTAATCATAATCGATTGCTAATTGTGTAGAAAGTATTTGATGATAGGCTATAATTACGTATTTTAGTCGATTATTACACTCTAATTTACTGCACTTTAGTTGAGTTTGCGCTTTAATCGCTAGTGTTTTGCACTAACGGTGTGTTTTATGCCTTGTAGGAGTGATTCCGAGCTATATAGATGTTATGGAATGAATTCAAGTGATTTAGAGCTTTGAAGTCCGAGTAAAAGCCCAAGGAATTAAGCCGGGATCGTATTCGGGGATCAATGGATGATAGAATAACAAAACAAAGAATCGAGTAGGCATATTGCGCACTGTCTAGTAAAATGCACATAACATTTTGCTCAGAACTCCATTTGGGCTCCACAATATATGGTTGGAAAGCTAATTTAAAGGGCTACAACTTTTATGTTTTACGTTTTTCCAAATTCTGAACAGAACATGGTGAAAAACGCGGTCGAAACCGCGACCGTGGAACTGACCGCGGCAGAAAATCAGAGAGCTTGTCTGGCCGCGGTCCTACCGCGTTTTGGCTGCAGCCGCGCCGCTCCAGGCGTAAAAAAGAAGTCCTATTTCGTCCGGGACAAGGATATTTCGGCCCTACACTATTCCAACTTGTATAAAAGGGGTCCTAAACCTATTTTGAAGAGAGGGGGACATATTTTGGACATAGATTCGACCTAAGGAGGCAAGAACACATTGGGAGCAAGGCGGAGAATTCTTCTACGAGTTTTTCCTTCCTCTTCCTATTTTTTATTGTTGGTTATGATTTTTAGTATTGTAGTTTTACATACTATTATGAATAGCTAATTCGTTTTCTAGGGTTTTGATGGAACCTTTTGGGGATGAATTGGTTGTTATATTAATATAGTTTTGAGTTAGTTGTTAATCTCTATTTGTTCAACTACGTTTTGATTTTGGTTAATTGAAAGGATCCTCAATTAGTCGTTCCTATTTATTATGTATCTGCTTGAGAGAGAGTGCATATTTAGGTAGTTGTTTGAACAACATCACTCCCGGAGTATAGGCGAGAGTCATAACCGAGGGTTTAGAGGTTGGATTAGAGATAACGATACCTCAGGTGCGATCTAAGTGAACTGTAATGTGAATCTAGCTAGCGTAACTTGAGAGAGTGCGTCTAGTAAATTATCATAATTGCTTGAGAGAGATTTATGATAGCTGGAGAGTTCATGATTGATAGAGGCAACTAAGTCAAAGCTATAAGAAACATACAACTAATGAG